TGAAAAATGCTTCYATCTCCAAAAAGGTGAAGATGGATCCTTACAGAGTCTTAAACATCTGTATGAGCTTGTCCTTGTCCACAGCAATGKTTTAGAGAACCATGAGCATTGCAGTGGCACTGTGATGTGTACAATCCTCCTCATTCCAATTTATTTCCTCTTTACAGTCCTTCATTTTCTTACACATTATATGTCAGAGAAATACTCTTTAAGGAAGGACAGAGAAGGGAAGAAAAGAGGAGTTCTAAGACAGGGTAAAGTGAGGAGTATTCCACTGATCCCAGATGCTGGAAGGACTGTAGGCTCCACAATCTGAGGCAAATAGAGGCATTGACACAAACAAAATGAGAATGACTGACTTCCCTCTCTGGCAGCAGAAGTTATTGCTTGGGTTTTTCATAATGAAAGAAAAACTGATTAAGGGTGCCCAATATTCCAGACAGTGATAAGCAATACTGCCATTTTATTTAAAGACAATTTACTTACTGACAAGGGAAAAAAAGAAGACATACCACTGTATATTGAACATCAGGGGCAAAAATCTTAATTAAATATTTCCCTTCACAGCATTTTAGTTGTAGTGTTTTAACCATGAATGCTATCCCCCTAGCTGATCTGAAAAAGGTCTCCTGGATTCAGAGTCTGGGCTTTCATTTCCATTAAGGTCATCAAATGARGCCTCACTATGTTGTTTTCTTATCAAACAGGTAGCACCAGAGCACTAATAAAATTCCCCTTCTAGAAAGTAGTCCTGCTATGGTAGTTGTTCTATAAATTAGCCAACAAAAGGATTAACACAGAAATCACACCTTTCTCTCACGTGGTTTGCACGCTTTTACTTTCTTATGGCAGCAGCCAATTTTGCAATTGCCACAATTTCCCATCCTCCTGCYTAATTTACCAAGCAGCCCCTCATTCCTCCCAAACTTCCACATTCATGTTTCCAATCCCATGCCACACTCTGTTCTGTATAGCTGTTTGTGGAAACAGGTAACAAATAAATTCAAACCATGCAGTTTTACAGCCAAGCCTTCCCAACAGTTAAAAGAAATCTAAAGGCAATTCCAGTAATGAATAAATAAAAAAATAAAGTTACTAATGTGTAAATGGATATTAYATTGAAGCAAACCAGTTGAGAAATAGACGTAAAAGAAGGAAGGAAGAACTAAGCAACAAAAACCAGAACTTATGGAAAGTCAAACTTACTTTGTTATAACTAAATTATAAACTACTAACTGAAATATTAAAATATTCTGAAATGAGTAATGGAAATTTCAGATTTTCTCATCATAGGAAAAAGATGAAAAATGCCACACTTCTTAAAAAACTGTGATTCCAGTGTCAATACCACAGTGTCAGCTGTGCCTCCCAGCCCTTCTTTTCCTAAGACTGACAGGAAGCTAAAAAGCCAAAAAGCTGGAAGGAAAGACCATTACAGAGCTCTGCCTGCAGTTTGGCAGCCAGAGTGCTTCCAAGAATGCCTGAATATCTCGAGACCATGAGCATTTTGAATCTCAACCCTCAGAGCACAGCACATAACTCTTTAATCCCAAGACTGCCCATGTGGCAGGCTCAGACACAGAGCTGAAAGCCCAAGCTCGGCAATACAGCAAGAGATCTCAGCAAGTGGAATAAAAAATGTTTGCAAGTAAAAAGCAACTTTCTTTAGAAAGTTTTCAGTCTACTCAAAGAACAACCCTGACAAGGTGATACCCTCCACTCCTTTCTGCTGGCAATCAAAGTCTTCATAGCTAAGCCCAGCAAGGGGATCCAGCCTCATTAGAGCAGTTTCGTCAAGGCACATTCAAGCTGCCAAAGAACCTGTGGAACCACACACCTGCACAACCCTCTGCGTGCTTCCCATGCTTTTGAGATGTGGCCAGGGTCACGGGAACACACCCTGGCAGCTGCTATGTTGTTCACTTAACAGTGTCAATGTTACGCTTTCAGAATACGAAGCAAAAACGATCACACAGCCCCCAGGCACGCTTCCAAACCATGTACGTTATTGAGGCATCTCTAATGGAATAAAGAGTACCTTTTCTGCACAAATTAGTAACAGTAAGACACTGTCAAGTAAAAATACAATGATACTAAATTTCTAGCAATGCACATATCATCATTATTCAAAGGACTGTATCCCACTGATTCACACTACTCCAGCAGAACAGCTTGGCAGGCACATACACAATGCTTTCTACAAGACTGACAGACCCAGCCCTGGAAACATTCAAAGTCAGGTCAGATAGAGCTCTTGGCAACCTGATCTAGACAAACATGTCCCTGCTCACTGGAGGGAGGYTGGACTAGAYGACCTGCAAAGGTCCCTTYCAATCAAACTATTCTATGAAYCTATGAAAAAACTGCCAGCTGGGACACCACAAGACCTCTTTCAGCAACTGGAATATACCTCATCCCTTGGCTATTCTCTAGACCACCTTCCATTCTTTTCCTGTTATGTCCAACCCATAAGCAATAGGAAATTGTTAAGTGGTATGCTAAAGGTAATGAACACAATTATCATGGCATAGTAGCATTTATCTCCTGTACCTTTGTAACTGTTTATGTAGTTTTGAAATCTATTTTCAAAGTYGACTCTTTATTGTTGCTGACACTAATCCAAGCTGAATGCTATGAACAGGTACAACCTACTCACTTACCTCACTTCTTTAATAAGGTTTAATCTTGCAAGAGAAGTTTTGCTGTTTCCACAGGAGTACATGCCTAGCAATCATTATTCCGAAAACACATCTTACTGATATAATTCGYTTTACTTCACAGAAGTTTAAAAATACAAGTAAAGGTCATATGCTAATTTGACATTTCAAAATCATACTCAAACCTGAAGATTCATAAAAGTAAGTTTGATTATGACACTTGATGTACTCTATGTATAGAAAAAGCTTCAAATTACTTCTTTTTGTAATGTAACTGAGTTTTTCTGCAGTAAGACATCATTTTAAAAGACTTTAAGTAGCACAGAACACCTAGCCAAAGAACTTTTATCACTGTCCTGCTAAAATAATGAGATGTACCAAATAACACACTTGCTGAAAATTCTCGAGCAATCAAAGTTGTCACTTCTCCCAGCTGCCACAAGAACTTCTAGTTGAAAAAAAACTGTTTTGTTCATGTTGTAAGACAAATACACACTCCACTTATATTTTCTTTGAATGTGTGTTACTAGAATACAAAAGAAGAAAATCCCTTTTAGAATAGGGGAAATAACCTTATAATTTCTTAGGAACACTTAAGATGTGCATAATACCTTGGCTGATACTTATCAAATACACCTTTAACATCTCATTACTATCCTGTATTCCTCCATTCTCATCTTTTCCCTTTTCCTTTCATTCCTTACCAACTTTTCTTTGTTGTACAAGAGTTTTCCTTTTATACAATTTCATAGCTATTTATGACAGGATGTGGTATGGCATAAGCTCCAATCTCCAACTTTTGACTTAGCCTGAAGAGCTTAGAGGATGCCTGCACAAGTCCTCTACATACAAGCCATACTTAGGAGGCTGGATTCCCAGGTGCTGGAATTAGCTGCTCAGCTGCTTCAGTTTAGTGGTGAACACAATGATGTTAGGTTAACAGCCAGACTTGATTTTAGAGGTCTTTTCCAACCTTAATGATTCCAGGATTCTAGAAAGCCAGTATTTGCAAAGGGACTTCACAGAAAACACAAATTAAAAAGGTCATCAATTCTTAAACAGCCTAAAGAAGGTCATTCCCTTAGAAGGGTTCTGTTGCTTAGCTCAAAGGAGAAAGGTGGTTTCCTGATCTCTTAAGATAGTTCATCTTTCTTTTATTTGTAGTTAAAAGATAATCTGGAGTTGTTCATTCCAGCGGATGTAGAACAGACAATATTGTCATTTCTTGCGCTGTTTTGTAGAGTACAAAGGGAAAACAAGATAGGTGCAGCAGTTATGATTTATTCCATGCTTGAGTTTCATGCATCATTTAGTACTAGATGAAAGCATCTTGAGAGGGCAGGGGAATTATGACTGGGAATGTAGAAGCTCCAGGTAGAGAATGTCTTATAAAACTAAAYGCAAATAAAGAACCTTCTGTCCCTTGTAGCTGTAGATAAGATTGCTTACATACTGATGGTTTAAAACACAGACTAAATAAAATCATGCAGCAAGAAAYGTTTTCCCTGGTAACTACTTTCAATGTTACATTATTTACTTATTTTGAGTATACCTTTAACTGTTGGGGGAGGGAGAAAAAAGCATTTTCCTTGTTTTATTAATTCCACTGCTCCAATATACAAAACATGAAATTGAACAGTAATATAGAAATTGGGTCTGCAAATAAGACACAAGATTTTATTTTCATTTTTATTACAAAATTATCAAAAAATCATCTGCTAATATTTAAAGTTTAATTTTAAAAAATCTTCACAGCTCACCAAAATGGAAATGAAGGTAAAGAAGGTATGCAATGCATTTTCTTCTCATTATAAACAGTCAGAACACAGGAGATTCCCATCAGGAAAATCAGCACCTCTGCCTCTACTGCTGTAAATGAGTAAATGGCAGAGGCCTCRTTACATTTTCTTCGTATTTTTAAAAGTAAATCTAAGTGCAGCAAAGGATACACAAAATGTACCATCCTTAAAAAAAAAAAAAGGATAATTTTTATGTTAACGGAAAAATATAGCTCACTGGCATGGCTTTATAATGTTCCAAGAACTTAAGGAAAGAAAATTTTAAAAATATATATAATCTGTTTAATTTTCAGATTTTGTAAGATGTTGAGACTGATCATTTACAATGTATTCAAAACATTAACACCATATACACAAAGACAGAATTGCCAACTGCTTTAAAAGTATAATTTTACACAGAATGTGGTCAGTCAACAATTTATGTGCCAATAAACACAAGCACTGCTGCTACTTTTATTTTCTCTGAGGTAGACACATACAAACATGCAGGAAGATACACTGCCTTTATAACTATTTTAGTTCAAAATCCATTCTTTGGAAAAAAAAACAACCATTTAAGAGAACATGCATAATTCAGAACTGTTTACTTCCACTGCCTCTTTAAAAAAATACATTATACKTCTTTAAAAATAACACAAGAGCTTCAATGTAGCAGTTGCAATGTGSTATTAGCTAAGATTTGATAGCTGCAGAGAATACTTTAAAATATCATTTCTTGAGGTCTGAAACAATCCGTGGTGAACATACATTTTAACATTGTTGGCAGCTGAAGAATTGGTTGCACCTCGTGGGTTAATACGATTATTCTTCACAAACTACAAGCCTATAGAACCACACAATGTTTGGTTCATAGGATCACGTTGACGAACATGAAAAATTGCAGAGTAATTGGCCCAATTATGCCAACTTTTTACCAGTTTACTARGTGGTCAAGTAAAATTTTGGCATGGCTGACTACCGGGGAGCACCAAAGAGACCCCTGGGACAGAAGAATGCATGTGCAAAGGGGAGAGAACGTATGTTAATGATTTTTGGGAAATTACTATCATATGTATGTTTATTCCAGAAAGGTCAATGTAAGTATGTATGTAAAGCATATAAACATCCTTCTCTGTAATCAGCATGCACAGTACTTCAGAGGAGATACCCCCTCATGCATYTGGCCAAATAAAGAATGTCTGCTTTTTAATGCCACGCTGCTGTTAAGGAGCTATAGCTTTACTAATTTTTGGTCACAACATCAGTRTTTCAATACATTCAGATCATCAAAATAAGGGACCACCTTGCACAAAGGGAGATACCATTAAACAGGTATCCTGTCACTTCAAGAAATTTAACTGAAATGCAATTGGTTTTATTACTGTTACCTTTATGTGCACCACCAGTAATAAAGTTAAGCTCAAGAGTCCCCTGGGAAGGTGTGGAATTTCAGAAGATATAGATATGTAAGACCCAGCTCAGTTTTCATTCTGCAGAAGAGTGAAATAATCAATGTGCTGAAACTTCAAGACCTCATTTCCCCAGCTGGTCCAGCCAGGCTGTAGGTTGCGTGCAAACAACTCCAAGCATTCCACATCTGGCTTGATAAACTCTGCCAGAACGGCTGTGTAAGAGAAAAAAAAATACCACAACAATGACAATGGTACAAATAACAACAGTAAACAAGTAAAATCTCCCCTGTGATGCTAGCAGATGAAAAAAATGAATGTTTCATTAAAAAAGGGAGAGACAGCAAATTAATTTCAGAGGTTTCATCAAAMAGCTGGACTATTTATAGTGAGAAAGTAATTTTAAATAAGTGCCCTTGAGATTCTGAACAATACTGTCAAGGCCTTCAATAGCCTTGATTTATTGGTTTTCATTTAGAGAAAGGGAAGGAAGATTTATTTCAGCCTCTACATAGATGAGTTCTGAATTTTTCACTAATATCAACCAAACACCTCCTAAAGCCTCACTTAGCTCCACTAAAACAGGGCAACACTTCTAAAAATAATGAAATAAATAAACCCTTTACTTAATTAAGAACACACTCTTTTCCTCTATACCTTAAAGCGGATAWAAGCATTTTTGTAATGACAACTGTTAAAAGATAAAATAAGAAACACCAGTTAAATAAGCATAGCACTAAAAGGGCTATAAAAATGCAGGAAYTACTTTTTCCYCCAATATCAACTTGGYWGCTGAAGAGATATTWCTRTAACTGTTACTGTTTTTCAGTAACGTAAATCTCAAATTTCTTTTACAGTTASGCATTTTTACTGCCTAAATCCAAATAAAAAGATGTCTGTCACTAACATCAACTGTGTCATTGATCATGACTGGTATTCTTGAAGTGATAGAAAAAGATCTTGCATTTTGCTTGAAAAGTGTTATTGCAAAGGGTTTATTGTTAAATGTGTTACTTGTCACACAGAACCATTTGGCCTGTGGCTGGTTCAATGAGGTTTCATGAAACAGCCACAAAGTTATTGAGTACAAAAATATGCACAAGAAATGCAAAGGTTTAAGGAGCACCCAACACAGAGAAGGCAGAAAGATGGAAAAACTCATCTATACTAAAAATTGCATGGTATGTTTTTGGTTTTGTTGCTGAGAATAAAGGAAGAAAAMTTATGGAAACATTTCCCTTTCCAAAGGGCATCTTGGTCATTTTTACATCAGATCTACCAGTGATTTCTGAATCTCTGTCACTTAAACATACAGCTCATAAATCCAACATTTTGCTGCTTCACTTAGTCTCTTCAGATATGATCACTGCAGAAAGCAAAAACACATCCAGTCAGCAAAGTATGACAGGGAATGCTTTTTCTTTTTTTTGGTGCAATCCAAGTACTGACTTTTTGCATCAAGTTTGCCAGTCACACACAGATTCCTTGTGAGAGACTCCAGCTGATCAGGTCATGGATTGCTCCCATTACAGAAAGATGAGCATCCACCTCACTTTCTAGTGCTAGCCAACCCCAGATGCATTTCCTACCTACATGACCACCTCTTCCAAAGCTTCAATATATAAAAACTGTTTTTATAAATATTTTGTGATGGGTGTTTCCAGGCTTTATTGTATTTTGGCATGGCATAAAAATTTATTCTCCTTCTCGCAATCTTTAACAAATGTCACATGAATGTCTCAGATGGGTTATCATCAAGGCAGCTTTTAACCTAAATACTGCTACCAGAAGGAATCTTATTCTGCAAACCTGCTTCTTTTAGAGGCAAGATAAAAATTTTAAACTGATCTAACATTTGCAGAGAAAAGTCTGGGAAGTTTAGAGGAAAATGTACATTGTGACAGAAAACTCACGCACTGTGTGGTGTCATGGGAGTTCATCTAATTAGATACCACTTATGAGCAGCTGCTTTTATACTATTTTGCAAACCCATCATAATTAAAAAAGTGGCAAAATTTATTGTTCGGTTTCCAGCTCCATTTAGATAAGGATTTCTTGTGCATCATTTGCTGCCAACATAGAGGGCTAAGCACCTCTCCTAGGAGGACAAGCTGAGAGTTGGAGTTGCTCATCTTGGAAAAGAGAGCCTCCAGGGAACCTTATTGTGGCCTTTCAATGCTTAAAGGGGACCTCTAAGAAAGAACAAACTATTTTAGCAGGGCCTGCAGCAATAGGACAAGAGATAAAGGTTTTAAACTAAAAAGGATGAATTCAGACTAGATACAAGGAAACAATTGTTTTCAATGACAATGCTGAAACACTGAACAGGTTGCCCAGAAAGGTGGYAGACCYTAAAATCCACAGATTAAAAACACCCTCATAGCACTAGGTTCAATAATCAAAAGCAGTTTTAACAGGCACCAAAAACTTTCATGTCTAAAAACATATTTGAAAAGCACATTTCAGAGATTCCTCAAAGACTGCCTCACCAAACGCAAAAAAGGGGTAGCCAAGAAACTGATCAGTTCAGTAGAAGCATATGCCAGTCTTTCTATCAATTCAGTTATAGAATTGTAAAAGGGAGTCCCAGGAATCTCCCCCTGTCCTTCTGACAGAGAGAGGATCTTTTTAAACTTACAGAGCTTTTTTTAAAAAAAGAGACATATTACATATAATTCAAGATTACATTATTGTATGATTTTTCATTGCTAAGCTGTAGGCATTTRCATTATCACATCAGGCAGTAATTTGCACTGCAACAAAAATTACCATATCAAGAGAGTTGAATTTTGTTGGCTTAAAATCTCATTACACTGGTTTCCTTAAAATGGGAAAAAMCAGTGCTCAAGTTACAAATTATGGCTTCTTTGTTAAACCTTTACATCAYCAGAAGGCCATCTTAATGGATCTGCCTTGCAGCCCTCAACCAAACCCTTGGGGCTTTTCCTCTGGAAACAGCTTAGAAAAATTTTACATCAGTAGAAAAATACTGAGTTTTTCTATCACAGGAATAGATAAAAACCAAAACCCACCACACAATTACTTCTACCCACTTACACATATTACTGACAGGAAACAGGTTAAATAGATGATAAACAGCCTACTCTTTATCACTTGCAGGTGTCACAAACACTATGACAGCAACTCAGGTATTTATATTTGAGCACCTAATGSCCCACATCACTTGAAGCTAGCACAAAGCCACCTGGAAGAGATAATACCTCCAGAAAACCCATTTCATTCTGAAGCACAATCCAGTGGTCAAGCAGGAGACTTGCCACACCTGCATACTCTTAATCCCAAACACATATTGAAGATGCATGCTCTCAAAAATGTTTCAATRAGCAAAATAAAGAATTATCTTTGAAACAAGCAGCAGTTTTCCCTTATCTTTTGAACTTCCACTTTCTAAAAAGCAAGTTTTGCATTGACAAATTGGATATATAAAGTGAAAATGACTGTCTGCTTTTTCACTGCCTGATCRGTGAGCCATGCAAAGCACAAAGCACACAGTTATCTCAGTTTAAAATAACCCTTCAAAAGAGTTTGCACTGTAGAGGTCCTTATTGCCCAATTTGTCTAATCCCTGAACAGAGTAGGACCAGAAAACAATCTGAAATCCAGCTCAAAGATGGCTTTACACCACTGCATCTTTCCTGAGTTTCAAGTTAAACATAGATGCTGACGCACTTATCAATTACTCTTAAAGCATGGGCTCACAAGGCACATAAGGAAACAAAATGCATTTACTTTCTTTTAGTTTCAAGAAAACCTTTATAACATGGCTTAACAAGCCAGCACTGCTACAGGAGGAGGGAGTTCCCATGATTTCTCACTGCATTGTTCTGSTGGAGATATGTAAATTGGTTAGAACATAGCCAAGAATTAATTCCAGTGCTTTTAGGCAAACTCCCACATAGCAGTATTCTTTTCTAACAATAAATGTATATACTTTAAAACTGGGAAAGCAATGGCTATAACAACAACAATCTATAATACAGGAAAAGRAAAACAGGTGAAGTTATCTAGAACTTCATACATCCCTGTAACAGAATATCTTTTATGTCCTCTAAGAGCAACACTGAATTGAATTAGTAAGAAAACCTGCTGTTATTTGAATCAAAACCTGGAGTAGTAAAATTTGATTTTAGMACATTTGCATAAAGCAGCTTAAGTACATTTACAATGACATATTAGAGYTCTAAGCATTGAACACAGCACATGCATCACCAAAAACCCCTACAGTTGCAATTTCATGGTTAAATGCACTGTAGGAACACAAACATCACTTTTTGATGGCTTACTTTAATTTACATCTTTCTCTACCCCCAGAGAGATAAACTGTTATAATCAGTCATTAAGTGGCTACRTATGTACCAACATACAACCTTTATTGTTGTAATAAGAAACAAAGTGCCAGACAGCATCAGTAAATACTAATATTTTTGGCTTTGTTACTACTTAAACAAAGCATAAAGAATGCAAGTGAGTCATCAAGTGTCCTTCATCCCCCGTTGCCAAAYCTCTGCTTCTCTTAAAATTTCTTCTGAACCCCTCTAGGATGTAGCTCAGCTGCTCTCTACTGGCTGCTTGAGAATACTGTCTGGTCATGAAAGCAAGACCATGTAAGCACAGAAGTCRAAAGCATCAGAAATCAGCTTTTGCCTAATTGTCTACCTCTCCATTACATAACCATATTCTGCACAGATCTGACAAAAACCTGTAAGATACACATGGATTTTCACAAAAATCTTTTAAATCATTGACATTGCTTCACAGCAAATTCTTTTTTTCAAATGGGAACATAAATGCTGCACAATGGTATGAGATCCAATCGTTCAAGTGAAGACTCAAGAAATACACAAAAGAAATTAGCAAGCAGAGTTTCTTTCAAAGTCCATTCAGGGTTATAATGTATAAAGGAGTCTCCAACRCGGTTTCTAGATTCTGCCCTACAAATGAATTGTTCCAAGGACCACTGTTGCACTAGAAYTTTCTCTAATACATACAAACTGCTRTTTTGCACTCTTGGATACCTCACAGGTTTGTGTCCAAGTTTGCTGCTAAGTATTGGCTTGCTAACACGGCCCTAGGTGACTGCCTCATAAATTACCACCCTCCTATTCATTAGCTTAAATCAACACATATACCTCCTGCTGTAACCCTAATTCTCAAAGATGTGGCTTCAGGATGGCAAGAAGATCCTCCTAGAACTGGAGGGTTTTTTTCTACTTTTAGCTAACTGAAGTATGTCCCTTTTACTAGTTTTTTTAAACAGGTGTGTGTGTGTGTGTGTGTGTGTGTGTGTGTGTATATACGTCAATGTATTAAATAAAAATCCCCCAACACAAATTTTAGACCATCCCTGAATATACAACAATTGTTCAGGTCAGAGTCATTCTACCCCTTGGGAAGCGAAAAAGGAAAGCATATCAGTGAAGCAAACAGTGACACCTCTCCTCTCCATAGCATTGCMCATTTCTTCTACCTGTCTTTTCTGATGTGATTACAAAGCATGCGCACCTGTAATATTTGCAGAYTCATTGTAAGCTTCTCCCTTGGAGGAGGATGAAATAATTTTGAGAGAGGTATTAAATTTATTTCTTACTATAGCCTTGTAAGGTTCAAAGTAGCCTTGTAAGGTTCAATGGTGCTATCACGATGAAAGAAGTACAACTTCCTACTGATGAAATTAGTCAATGTGCTCCAAAACAATTCTTTGGAGTAACTCTGTAAAGCTGAATTTCTACCCACACTGGCTGGCTGAAATTACTGYGTCAACTTCAGTGAAATACAATTCCTCAGAAATATGCAGGGCATGCCTTATTTGTTGTCTATTACTAGCAATCCTAAAATAATTTTTGGATTTAAAGGCATAATTGAACTGCAGGTATATAATCAATTCATGTAGAAATGTAAACATTTATTTCAGGATGACTTAATAAAGAAAGAGGTTTCTGCTCTCATATTTTACGTACCCCCAAAGTTGTTCCACTCTAAAGGTACTTTAGGTCATTTGTCATAACTCCATATGTAAAGTAACTGTAAAACAGTTTGTGCAGTATTTAAGAGACATATTTTGAAAAAGGCAACGTTTTTCCTATATATCTACCTAAAATGTTCACATACTAACACCTGAAGTTCTAGTTTTCACTTTCATTTTCAGAGGCCAGAAGTGAGGTGCTTCAGAGCACTTTTGGAAATGCTGAGGAACCACAAGTTCTGTCAAGTAAAACTGCTTGACAAATGGTAAATTAAGACTTGTAGGTACATCCCAGAATCAGACATACAAGTCCACCATGCTACAGAAACATTAGACAACAAAACCAAAACGTACCAGCAAGAGGAGGTTTATGTGAATGTAGACTGCAGGGTATGCTGACAATTAACTTATGCTCTGGAATTGGAAGAACACTTTCAGATTTCCTGTCATATAAATCAGAAAAGAAAAGAAACAYGAGAATGAATGCTACCCAGTGTAATATYGCAGCTCTCACAGAGCTACTTCAGMTGGGAGCTAACACAGAGAATGTTCATTCACAAACTTCAGGGAAGTCCATGGTAATGTTAAACATTGCTCCAACGTAACATATAAAATGACAGTGGATTTAGACAAAACATCGTAAATATCAGCCATACAAAGTCATTAAGAACAAACAATGTAGTCCTGAATGTTTTTATGTGTGGGAAAACAGCAGCATCCTCAAAATGGCATCAGCCTGTCCAAGAGAACCTGTCAGCAAAGACAGTCCTGTCCACAAGGCTTTTGTCTAAGCCAGCTCCCCAACACAGCAGATGTAAGAAACAGACAGGATATTCCATTCTTTCATCTCAATAAGGAACTTTCTTATTTCAAAGCTAGTAAGGCTATCTTTAGATCCACTATCTGCCAAAGGATGATGCCAAGAGCTTTTGGGACATTAYACTGCATTATGAATAAGTGATACATACAAAGGGAGTCCCAGCAGATGCAAACAAAAGACATTTACCATACATATTCTGACATACCTTAAAGTTTCCTTTACATCTCCTTGAACTCTTCCCAATACAAGAACTTCATAGGGTTTTTTGTGCAAAGACTCCAAAGGCAATACAAATTCTCCTGCTCTAGTAATCTGACACAAAAGAGTTAAAAACACACAGTAGAAGATTTTAATATCCCATATTTTTCCAAGACCTTTTCTTTTTATAAAAAGGAGGATACTGRTGATATCATAGCTCTCAAATACAGAAGCATATGGTAGTAAATSGACAAATCAGAAGTGTTATAGAGCAAGTCCTCTCAGTCTCCAAGTAAGCAACAAAACAAACTGAGAACTTACTTTTACCCAGTGCCACTCAGCAAGTGTCTTCACTGACCAATGAGGATAAAGTTCATCCTTAACAAAGCGTAAGTGCTTYTGTCTATTAGTCACCCACATGACTACAAGACAATTTGGAGCAGCTAGTGCTGGTACAGGAATTTGCTTGATTTGCCATGAAGACAAGTGGCTGTACCTATATGTCAATACAGAGAAAACAAATTAGCATATACCAACTTTAAAAAATGCAAAACAACACAAATGGATAAAGAAATTACACAGACCAGTCACTGCAAAAATTATCTCCTGACAACCGAAGTTATAAAAGTAGTTCAAGACTGACACCCAGTGGACAAATCTCATGGATTGGATACAAAATCATTAGTGCATGTACTTAGGTTTTACTGAGCAGAACTTTTAACTACTACTACGTATTTCCACTACTCCTCAAAATAAAGCAGTATGAATTGTGACTATGAAGAAGTTTAGAAGCCCATGTTTCATTTAAGAACTATCATATGAACTATTTAGTGAACAGTAGCCTCTTAGGCAATGCAACACTATTCACTTCTCATAATAAACTCTCTACTGAATGAAAATAACAAGTGAGTCACTTGCAACACTAATTTGAATGGCAACTTAAGAGGTCTTAAAAGGTAGTAATTTCTCCARTTATTTTCATAATAATTTCCCAATTATTATGGGATATTAAAGATTATTAGAAGTTATTATTTTTTTAATTACAGCCATGGTAGAAGATCTCTAGGTTATTCAAAATCWTTCTGCACTTTTCTGAGCTAACTCAGAATGCTACACTCGTGACTCCAGTATGCTTTCCAGATCCTGTCCTGTTCTACCATTCTTTTTCATGATGCAATTACACACTCTTAATAAACTGCATTTCATGGAACCTACATATTCAGCACCAAAAACATTGGCACACTGCCTAATGAAAATTGGCAGCCACCATGTGGGTACCCAGGACCCTACACAATGCTACAGTTAGAAACAGTAAACAAGGATAAAATCCAAAATACCTCCTGGACTAGWCTTCCCAGAGGAAAAAAGATTCACCCACACAAGAAATACTTCACAATGATTATRTTCACAATGCCAATAAGATAATTAAGAATAGTGATAGCTCCTCCATWTTTTGCCTTTATTTTACAAGGGAGAGAGGATCTTGGTGGCTAATTTATACTTGTAACTACAAATCTTCTGTGAGTACCTTATATACTCAAGAAAAAGATTTGAATGAGTTCAACTCRAGAGTTTCTAGAGGTTTCTGAAGGGGTTTCAAAGGAAAGCCTACTAATCAGTCTCAGGATCTTCAAATTATGTCTTCATAACAAGCTTCAAAAGCTACAATGAACTTTATTATGAAAAGTTTAAAGGTCGTATTCCCTGTCTACCCTTCTTTCATATGGATACAATTCTATGGTAATCAAGAGGACTCCACTGGCATAAACATGACATTACTCAGCAGTGAAGGAAGCCTRTAAAAATTTAAGTTAATGACTTCATAACTACAGTACTCAGAGTTCCTGTTACACTAGAGGATTTTACTGCTATATTATCACATTCTTCTAAACATTAGACTGAAGCTTAAGCTGTGGCTCAAACTACATAAAAACCCACTCAAACTCCTAAGTAAGATTTCAGTCCTGGAAATAGTTACACATTTATCTAGCTTTATATCTACTAAAGTTACCCCATTAATTACAAACTAATATCTGCATGATCTGGACCCTACAAAACAGCTGAATCCATACTTTCCCTGTAAGTCTCAAGGACTAACATTCTCTCACCAGCTAGGTAATTTAGGACCTAGTCTTGCAAATATTTTGCATGCCAAGTATACAAGACATTTCAGTGAAATACCTAAGACATTCCATAGACTTGAAGGTAAGTACAACTTTAAGGTACAGTCTCAAAGTTATATTGGTCTTGGATTGTATCAATATATTAAAATGATAATTACCTTTGTAAGCTATGATGACAACGTTTGTTTGATTTTACTATAAAACATACCTGTTACTCCTTTTAACAGACTTGTTCTCCCACGGTGGGTCAATCACAATTACACCATATTTTTTCTCATCTGGCAAGGGAAATAAAAAAATAAAAGCCAGCAAATCAGCTTTAAAAAGATTAAATAAACCAGATATAAACCAGATATACAGCAAAACTGCAAATTTCTTCTTTCCTGATAAGAAATTGAARGACTTTTGACATGCTTGTTTTAATTCAGATAATCATAGCCAGAAAATTCGGATATTTTYAGGGTAAGTAATCACCTAAGGAAAGGACTTTTATGTGATCTGTGTCAGATCCCTGCAAGAAATTTTGGCTATCTTTAGGATTTTCAGGAAAAAAAAAAGAGGATAGCAGAGTGTAAGTCTCAAAAATAAAATTTCTCCGAGTTACCCAACAGAAGCTATGTAATGAGGCACCCAACTGAGTGAAAAGCTGCAGCCCTGAATKCAAGATTCCTGGCTTCTTTGATCTTTCAGCACACCAACAGAGACATGCAGAGCTTCAAGCCAGCCCTAGAAAACTGTTTTCCACTACAGGAGGCAAAGAGAGACAGATAGCTAGACAYAGTGTATGAAATGGGAATCAATGGACAAGGGCAAAAGAACTGAAAGAGTTTTTGTGGGAGAAGCTGAGTTTACTTTAGCTGAAGGATAGAAGATACAGGACACATCCATGAAAAAACAGAACTCCCCACTTTCGTTTCTCCAGAGAATGTGTTTGTTCTTTCATTGAGTCTGATGGTAAGAACAACAGCTTAGTATTTGATGTTCATTAACTGTGATTAMTACATCTTATTCATTCAACACTGGAGGTATTATCTTTACAGTGAACTGACCAGCAAGAATTACTTCTCTTTTGGCAGGTGAAAGGGAGGAAGAAAAATAATAATTAAAATGGACAGATTTAGTTTTTTTWAAAAAAATCTACAGTCAGGACATTATGTTAACATTCACTGTTGCTTATTGCAAAAGCATTTGCTCAGATTTTTCGGACTGCTCTGTAACTTCTTGGAGAATCCAAACACACTATCTTATACGCACAACTGTGCAGAGTGATAGAAGAGTGATAATAATCCTCCTCCTTTCCTACAGATGGAAACAGCAAAGTTTTCATGAAAACAGGCTAGATTCTGGACTTCAAATGCAAAATTATTATTTTGACAATAAATAAGATTCTACCTCCTGAATGTCTTCTCAACAAATTTTTTTTTATATAACATCTAAGTTATATAAGCTTCCTTCTCAYGTGCAATTGAAAAATCTAAAATTACTCATTAGAGGGTAGAGCAGTAATGCCCAGCTCTTGCTGGAGAAAAAGGGTAAATTCTAACTCCTAAAGATACTTACAGTTCAGCAGGGGCTGTAAACATGAAATATCAGATAAAAGGAAACTGCTTTTTGGTGGTACCAAGTATTTCTGCCCCATTAGCACAATTATCTTTGCACAGTTTGAGTTGTTTTCTGTAACACATGAAAGCAGGTCCTGCTCTGAACTGGAGGTTTCATCCTCTAGCACATGTACAGCTTGATGGTCACTTCCATTTAAAGCTGGAAACTGCTTTGCCATTTCACATAATTCAGCCAATCCACAGACAACATGTTGAGGAACATTATTCTTATTGCAGCTGTGTTTAGCAGTAGCATGGYGAAGAAAACCACTTTTGAGTCCTTCTTGGACTAAATGGAAAGTGCCTTCCCAAATGAGCTTCCTCACCTGTATGCACAAAGAAACAAAGGAAAAAAAGAAACAATCTTTCAGGTATCTACTTGATCAGGGAATGCAACTGAAATCAAAACATTTTCCATCTACAGGCAGGGAAAAGGATCCTTGCCTATTACTGAGATCATTGGCTCAAAAGCTACAAAGGAATGATAACAAGGTGTGTGTCTTGGTCTAACCCCAGCTGGCAACCAAGTGCCACACAGCAATTCATCCACATCCCATCCCTCCCAGTTCCTGATGGGGAGAAAGATCAAAGGAAAAAGGCAAACCTCATGGGCTGAGATAAAAACAGGTTAGTAATTGAAACAAAATAAATTATTATCATTCTTAATATTATTATTAAAAAGAGGGAGAGAGAGAGAAGTACAATCCAAGAGAAATAACTGTGGATAATATGATCACTGATGTCCAGCCCCGCCCTCAGTAGCGAATCCACAGCTCCCAGCCAACCCATTCAGTTTATACAGTGAACATGACACCCTATGGCATGGAATATTCCTTTGGCCAGTTCAAGGAGCCTGTCCTGGCCATGTTCCCTCCCACCTTCGTTGGTGCACCTGCACACTGGCAGAGCAAGGGAAACTGAAAACTCCTTGACTCAGGGTAAGCACTGCTTAAGACACAGATGTTTCAGTTGTTGCTATCAACATTATCCTCATACTAAATCCAAAATGAGAATCTTTGATGTTTTCTGATCTATCCTGACCAGACTGGGAGGGACAAACCAGCTGCAGCTGGGTGCAGACATCTGGGCAACATGTCTACATTTAGCTTTCAATATGTTAATTTTTGAACTTTTTTTTTAAAATTGGGTTATTTTTCCTTTGGAGCATTCCCACTTCATCAAATCTATGTTAGCTGTCCAGCTACTAAACAGAAAACTAACTCTATCCMAGCCAAAAGMAGGATACTGTGCTAACTTCTGTTGTTGGTTTTTGTTTTCTGGTGAAGTAATTACAGTAATTAGAAGGCTGGMGAAAGAAAGAGTGAAAAACTACTGAATAAAACATTTCACTCAACAGAGGTGGAATATAATCGTGCCAACCAAAGACAAATTTCAAAGCAACTATCTGAAGTTTAATTYAAAATTCTAATCTAATTTCAAGTTACTGTGCCCATGAACATATTTTTAATTAAGATTCATACTGGGATCTAAAAATCAGTTAATTTTTAACATTTCAATCCATTTCATAAAACAATAGTTTATGCATTGTACATTAATTTTTTGGCACTTTACATTAATATGTAAGTACAATCAGTAAATCAAATTAAAGTGTGAGAATTTGATTTTGCAACTTTTTTAARTGGCAAAGCTCTCCAACAGCCTGTYAGYCAGTCCAGGATGACAAGATTATTGRATCTATACACCCTGTCATTCACTTCAGCACACTCCTTTGAGTGGACTTTCAGAGACCTACTTTATTTTCAAATCACAGAGCCTTTTGTTAGTTTTAATTGTCAGTGAGGTGGGTTTATTCATTTAGAATAGCAATAGCCAGTTACAGCAGCTTTATTAAAGCTTTCAAATAATACGGTTTCTAAAGCTGTTTACAGAATCTTCAAGATTACCAGAGGGTTTTATGAAATATTCTTTATTACTGTTCCCAAATCAGTAACAAGAAATTTTTTTTTCAATAATTTAATAGTTCCACCTCTAGATATCAGAGGGTACAAAGTCATATTTTTTAATACCTTGATTTGTGAAAATAGAAGTTCATAGTGCTTCAAGAGAATTAATATCTTTAGAGATTATACAAGTTGTATAGCTGAATTCAGGCACGTAGCTTTTCTTCATACATGCATGTGTTAACTCACAAGTGGACAAAGTGGACAAAGTCTCTTGACTATCAAGCAATCTAAACAGTTTTAACAAATGGCTGCTGAAGGAATTTAGCATGTTTTTGTACTGTTCCCTATGTTGACTGTGAATGAAATTCATAAATGGATGCACTTGCAGAATCCAATTTGSGYTTTTTTGGCAATGAGTCTACAAATRTAAGTGCCAAAGTAATCWGRGTTGTYTTGCAGAGCTGTAACCATTTAACAACACAAATACAGTAAAMACYCAGTACTTTCTAATCTGTGAAWGCTGTAAGAGGMTAAMRGGGATCACAGATTTTTCCAAGYTCTRTCTTTTCCATACATTCACCAAAAAYCAWTTGAAGCYACACAAGCYTCCAAGACATYGAWTTTCTCTTCATTTCTTCCCTTGTTTCTACTGTTGAATGATTTTATKTTAGCTTAAACATTTTCAKACTCRTAAATCTCTGTTGAACTTYAAAGTTCTCTCCTTTAARGTGAATCTGCACACACATAGCTTATTCACAAAAATAACACAGAACCTCTACCCCATATCAGCAAACTGTACACGTTTATAATCTTTAACAAGATAGTTGCCATGTAAAAGAAAAAAGGCGTAGTCATCTAAACGTAGTTCAAGAGGAACAGAATTAAGCAAAAAGCCAATAGCACTAATACCTTTGTCAAAGAAAAGAAAGCAAGTTTAGGTCCTTGCACAGGTTCACATCACTGTTTGGGAAAGCAGTAACAACACATCARATATTACCTACAGATTGCATTTCTATGATTTACTAATATGCTTCATTGTAATTAATTTGTATCTTCACCAGTACTACGCCAGACATAAGCCTACAGACTTGAAATCCAGTTCATTCATAATGCTTTAGTATGACAACATAAAATGTTAGAGAAAGATGATTTTTTTTCTCAGTTGCAGAGTAAGATATTTTGAAGAACATATAATGTTAGAGAAAGATGATTTTTTTCTCAGTTGCAGAGTAAGATATTTTGAAGCACATTGGGTCATAAAAGCTTTGAATAACTCCAGCACAGTGTCAGGAAACACTGAAGATGAGCTGATCTTCAGAACAGGCTGTGCTGCCAGTTTCAAATCAGTCACTTCCTGTTCAAATAACATTCAACTCATCACAATATAAAGGTCAGTTATCCATAAGAGTCAAAGTTGCTTTGCAAATGCAGCTTCCAGCTTTTGTAATGTCTCAGATGCAATTTCACATGTATCTACATAGAAGATCTTCTCTGTAAGCATTTATTCACCTAAGGACTGGAGAGATTGACCTTCCCCTCCCTTTCCTTCTCTGCACCAGCAGAACGAGCTACAAGATCAGAACTTGTCTGCAACAATGCCCTTCACTCTGTACATGCCCAAAGTCAGGTGTCATGTACTTGCAAAATACACGTTTGTTCCAACTTACCTTTGAATGGTATTCCAGAGCATCCAGTTCACCTTGGTTGAATACACATTTCCTTTTCCTTTTCTGCAGAATTAGCAAACAACAACAAAAAAATCCATATTAATCCAAAATGAAATAAAAGGGAAAAAAAATCCCAAACATACCTGAATTACAAACTAACTCTTTTAAAAGCAGGAGGAACTTTCTGTCTCTTTTTCTATCACAAGTATAAGACAAAAGAGCAAAAAGACTTTAAAATACCTAAGCTGCTGCAGGCATTCCCAAGGTCCATAGGCTTAAAGTTGTGTTGTCTGGGATCTGAAGGCACCTAGTGCATGGTGTATTCATGCCTCTGGTGGGCCCACACTAAAAGTTTCAGCTGCCAAGTGCAGTTATCAATAAAAGAAAAAAATTAACTACATCTTCACCATTACATTTATTGGTTTAGATCTGCGACTTCTTTTCTTTTTCCAATGGAACAGTACTGAACAACACTGAAAGTAAATTCACACTGTCCTTCCCAACTCGCTAATCTGCATGATTGCAACAGCTACCACAGTTGCAGGCTGTGTACCTGACCACAACCAATGCCAGGAGATTTTGGGAGCAACCCACTGCTTTTGAGACACAGAATGCACATTACTGTCACAAGGGAAATAACAATGTCCTCAAAAGTTTCTGCTCTTCTTCACTACTTCAAAGACTCAGGTATGCAAAACCACGTTAGTAGTATATTATTTATCACAGGACTACTGTAATTTACAGAGAACATACCTTCCTAGCAGTGGCAACAGAATCTCCACTGCCACTCTTTGCTCCTTCTTGGTATTCCTCTCYGTTGCTGTTGGCCTTTATTTCTGTCAGACTCACCTCAGGGCATCCCTGACACAGCTGCTCCTCRGGGGCTGCAGCTATGTGGGGCTTAAAAATATCAAAAAACTCCTCCCGAAACACGTATCTGATTTTTGTTGTTTTACCTTCTGTTTCTATGGCATCTCCAGGACCATAAGTAGGACTAGCAATTGATGAGGGGGTGGCAGCAAAAGTRGAAATACTGTGACAGTCTTCAGTAGATGTGACAGAAGTATTGCAAGTGACACCACCATGRTGTGCAAAGGAGTCACAGATCTCATAGCCACACTGGTTGATGAAAGAGAGATGATCCACGAGCCATCCTGCAGCCAGACGATGCACCACAGTCATCCTAAGTCCTCTCTTCAGGAAGAAAAGTTATCTCCCTGACACCRCAGCTTTCATAAACCATATAAACTTCCTGAAGCAACCTCCTCCTGTGGGAAATTTTTAAGAATTCAYTTTACAAATAATCACGTTTACTTAATCAGCACCTACCTTCTGACAGACATTTCCAGCATGCGCAGAACACAGTGTTGAAACACCCGACTTCAGCTGGCTCCCCCGTTATATTTGCCCTTATACCGCTACTTTTGTTATAGTAAGCAAATTTTATATAACTTTTTATACTTTTCTACAGGATGCACTTGCTCTCTTTTCAGAAACTTAGAAAACAGCCTTATGATACACCAATTATATGACATATATCTATTCACTGCATATACACCACACATAGACGCATATATACTACATACATATATATTATATATAACCATATTAATTATACGTTACGAACATGCTATATAGACTACATATATATTATGCATATATATTATGTATATTATGTGTGTGTATATATTATATATAACCATATTAATTATACGTTACGAACATGCTATATAGACTACATATATATTATGCATATGTACACACTCTATGTACTCTATGTACGCTATAGAGCCATGCACATCTACATGTATAAACACCCATATATGTGCATATATACACACACTATACTTACACCTATACACGTACTATATACGTATGCATATGCTATATCTACATACATAGACCACATATACATATAGAGACATGGATGACTATGATTGCACCCAGGAGCAGTAATACAAACACAGGATCAGGGGCGCCCGCGGCACCAGCGCTGCCGAGGCCAGGAGCCGACTCCCACCCCCGCGGGCACACAGGAACGGAAAGCTCGGGTTTTTCCCCACAAAAACTCTCGGCGGGTGGAGAAAAGGCCGGACACACACTCACCGCGGCCGCCGCCATGTCTCTGCACGGGCACGGCCCTCCCCCGAGCCTTTCCGGGGTTGGGATAATCCCGATCCTGCTCCTCCTCCCCGCGCTGCTCGGCGGCGGCCCCGCCGTGACGCAGTTCCGTGTGACGCTCCGGTGACGCGCGGGCGGGCGGATTTGAAATTGCGAGGAGGMGGCGGTGGCGGCGCTGGCGGTAACGGCCGAGTGGGGACAGGAGCGCGGCTCTGCGGGGAAAGGGAGCGCGGTGGGGGCAGCACCCCCACCCTCACCCTCCACCACCGGGACCGGTGTCCGTAAGGCGGCGGTGAGTCCCGGGCTGATCTCTCTGCTGAGTCCCCCTTCGTACCGCGACCGTAGGCACGGTTTAGACGCGCTGTCAGGGCGAGCAGGTGGAGCTGCGCCCAGCTCTGCCGCGCTCCTACGCCTTTTTTTTTCCTGCTGSCGTGGCAAACCCTGCTCTCAAATCTCTGCTCAAACTCTGCTCTTACAGCGTCCTGGCTTATATCAGCAATAGTGTGGCCAGTAGGAYGAGGGCAATGACAGTSCCYGTGTACTCAGCACTGSTRAGGCCGCACCTCGAGTGCTGTGTCCAGTTCAGGGCCCCTCAGTTCAGGGGGGACATTGAGGTGCTGGAGAGTSTCCAGAGAAGRGCAACGGAGCTGGYGAAGGGTCYGGAGCCCCTCTCCCAGGAGGARTGGCTKYGRGAGYTGGGGTTGTTTAGCCTGGAGAAGAGGGGACCTTATCACYCTCTACAACCACTTGAAARGCGGCTGTACCCAGGTGGTGGTCAGTCTCTTCTCTCAGCCAACAAGCGAGAGAACATACTCCTAAACTGTGCCAGGTTTAGGTGGGACAATTGGAGGAATTCCTCCCCAGAAAGGGTGGTTATACCCTGGAATGGACTGTTGTTATGAATGAGCTTGTTAAGATTGCTTAAAGAACCACCTCACCTGCCCAGTGCGGTAGTGGAGTCAGTGACACCTCTCTCTGGAGGTGTTTAAGGAAAGGCTGCGTGTTGGTTTGGCTCGGCCTGGGTTTTGGTAGCAGGGGGGCCACAAAGATGCCTCCTTGTGAGAATCTGCTGGAAGCTTCCACCATGCCCAGCAGAGGCAATCTCTGATGTCTCTGAAGATGGACATGCTGCTGGCCAAGGCTGGGCCAAGKMKRGRWTKKKGKWAMMMC